TACACAAATATACAAGGGTTTAGGAAATTAACATTGCTTCTAACATTGAAAATACAACCATTATAAGATTCGGTTGCTGGTTCTGCTGGTAAGTCCAAACATTTGAGGATAAGGACAGATGGCTGTGATAACTGTTGAGTATGTGAAAAAATGTACACTAAAATGTTTTATGTGGAGTTTACTCCTTCACATTTAATATTTGTCTGGCAGAATTGAAATAACTTTTACAAAGCAAACAGATTGTTGTATTTAATAAGAATAACTTTATGATTTTGCGTGATTGCAATTAAATCTACAATAAATAGCTGTCAGTGTCCTAGAATTGGTAAAATTTGTGATGTTTGAACATAAGGTTTGTCAAGATAGTTTAAACTAAACCAAAAGGTATGGTATGCTCACATTGTAAATAGATAATGTAACAATGATAAAGCAGAGCCTTGTCATTCAGTTAGCAAACCTGCAGACCTTAACCTTATCAAAAGTACTTGAAATGAGGGTAGAAATAGTGAATGGGCTAGTACTGACAGATACTGTGTTTGGAGCAAGTGAGGACGTGTAATAAATGACAAGATACAGATAACCGGCTGCATGTAACATCACGGTGGAATGGAGGTTTACGAAAACGGCTCGGTTCTGATATAAGCCTTCGGTCGCGTTTGTTCACACAATCCTATTGCATTTGAGTAAAATGACTATAATCAGAGCCACGAATGTATTTCAACGACGAGCGGTTTGCTGTTAGCGGACCTGCTACAATGTGAAACACGTTCTGATAAAGAATTGGCAATTGAACAAAAACGATAAGTGCGATCGAAATAATCTCTTCACAGTGAGCAGCAGGAGCTTCCAACCAAAATGCTGTCTATGTCCAAATAGTCCTCAAAATGACAAAACCGTAGCAATACTCCTACTTTCACTTCAAAGGTATTTTCAGTCTGTGTATTGAGCCGTATTTTGCTTCTAAAAGTCATTTACACCATTCAAAACCTTTTCAGTACCACCTGAATAACTATAAACAACCATAAACCTAAACCACACACTTCATAATAATTACTATCAGCCCTTCGTTAAATAGTATAGTTTGTAAGACCTCTAGCAGGTAGCAGCTAATCGAAATGCTATGGTGAACCCCTGACTTGTTCATATAATCCTACCTTGGTTCGGTTCTGATATAATTCCTGTCAGTCCACGCTTGTTCATAACAGGGCAGTATAGTGCAATATGTTTACATAACGCATTAAGCTGTATGGAGCTACGGACCCACGTTATGTATAAAAGTTATAAAAATGTTGTATACAGACATAAATGTGCTATATTGCAAAATTTATTTTCAGTGATCATAGAAGATCAAAAATATGCAAGTAGTTACTGGGTTGTTTCTTTTCCTCATACACTCCTTAAAAACATGCTTGTTCAAGCTTCTTTTACATCTCTGTATACTGTTGTGATGGATAGGTGTTTCATGTTTCTTTGGAACCTGCTGATTTTTCCAGTGGAGCTGGACTGCTTGTTTGGCCTCTACTTCCTGTTTTAATGCTATGACAGACCCTATAAATAGCTTGTAACCTCTCATCCTTTTTAGAATTTTGCTCTGCATGCATGTTTAATATGTGAGTAAGCACTCTACTGTGCTCTCATATGACTCCGCATTAGCCTATACTGTATAAAAGACCCCTTCGTTACCCTGAATAAAAACTGTCAGGTACTACGTACTCCTTAGCTGTTTGTTCTTTGTGTTGTACACAACCTAAAAGCCTATCCTCATAAGAACTTTAAAAGCATTTTTAAATGTCTCAACCTATACTAACTCCAACTGTATGTCTATGTTGGGTATCAATGTGTATCTTTCTCTGTTCTTGGGACTGTAACTGTAGGTGTTTTTATGGTTTACAAGTGCAGTTCCCATATGCAACAAGTTTACTTTATATAATAATCAGAATACGATAAATAAATCAACACTAAAAAAACTGCCAGTTTTCTCCTTTCTGTTATCGCCCACTTTGAAACCCTACATCAAACTAGAGAAATGCATTTCCTGTCGAAAATGCATGTGGATGCAATGTGCTGAAGGATTGCCCTGAAAATGCTGAACATTTTGATGCCTGAAAGGCATATCTACCTGAAAGTATGCTGAAGTAGAATTTTCCCAGTTATTTGAATGGGGGGAAAATTTCAAAATAAAGCTAAATATTTCAGAAGTTTGCGTGTAGAAAAATTCTGAGTCGAAGCATGAATGTCCTGGAGGAGCTCAACATTTTGATACCTGAAATACCTCAAAGTATGCTTAAGTAGAATTTCCCCATTCATTTGAAAGGGTAAACTTTTCAGAATAAAGCTAAATATGTGTGATGTTTTGAAAAATTGTGAATAGAAGCATGAATGTCCTTGAAGAGCCGAACATTTTGATATCCGAAATAGGTGAAAGTATGCTGAAGTAGAATTATCCCATTCATTTGAATCAGGGAAAACTTTCAAAATAAAGCTAAATATTTCAAAGGTAGGTGCTTGTGTGTATGTGTGTGTATGAGAAAGAACGAGTATTCCTACACATTGAGAAATACTAGAGTGTGACTATTGAAATGAGACATAAAATGTAAATAGTAATTATGCAAAAACCATAAAAAATATCAAAAAGCTGTTTACAGTATGAATAGCGGAAGAGTTGCTGAATAGTTATAAGTTGAAATTGTGTTTTTAGCTGAAGGTATGCTGAAGATATTAACGTGAAAATTTGTCCCATTTATTTTAAATGGGAAAGTTTTTGTGAAAAAAGCTGAATTTATGAGAAAGTATGAAAGTTATAATAAAGTTGAGTACACGTCATAATGGGCTTAAAAAGATGAACAATTTGATACTAGAATGGGTTGTCTAGCTGAAAGTATGTAGGAGGAGATGAGAGGCAAAAAACGTACACAAGAAACTATAATAAGATTTGGAAAACAAGAGTGTGGTTGCTTCACATCCACATTAATAAATAAAGAACAGGAGAGCATATTTGTGTGGATGCTTTACAGCATCCACACAAATATGCTGTGTATAAAGGTGCGCTTATTGGAGGGGTGTATACTGTATGTGTGTTGTGTCCGCTCCTGCAGTTCTGCTGTCTGTCCTCAAGGCTCAGATACTGTATGTATCAGTATAGGGGTACTAGTCTAATGCAGGCCACCATTTGTCTGCACCAGTCCCATCATTCCACCTGGTTTGCATCTCAATAAGGTCCATTATAACAAAACCTTCTTCATATTTTGTCTTAAAATAATTGTATTTTTGTTGATGAGGAAGTAAAAATGCTAAGAACATGACAGATTTTTTGCATGTAAAGTGCCATTGTTGAGCAGCAACTAGACAATTTAATCAACTGATTTCATGAAAATATTTTTGAATCACTTCTTTTTACTTCTCTCTTTCTGACTACTGTCTATCAGGTCCAGAGGGAAGAAGCACAGTGTTATTTTACGTACCCAGCTGACCGTCCGTGTACACGCCTGTATCGGTGAGTGCTGTGTGACATATGTGCTTAAAACTTGTTTCTACATGGACACACAGACATACACAGTCAGTGCAGCAGTGAGCCTCAGAGCACATTTTACTTGATGTTTAGATGGGGTTATACCTGAGACCTCCCACAAAGAAAAACAGAGCAAATCTCCTAAATATCATTTGATCTTTGTCATTAAAATTATTCATAATTTTATCTTACAACTGCAACAAAATTTGTTTTATTACTCTGAGATCAATTTACTTGCCTTCTGGCCTACCACATAATGTACACTACTGTAGGTCTATATTAATGATCTAGAGAAGATAATCTACTGAGAACACATGGATGACGTTGGTCCCTGTGGTTTTCTTATTTTAAAATAAGCTGGCTAAAAGCCCAGTCATATAACAAACTAGACAACACTCAGAGAGTGCAAACATCTGCCAAGTGGCACTCAGAGCACATATGGAGATAAAGCCGTGGGTTAGTGACAACTGCCCATTCATTGTCAATGGAAACCGTTGTCTCTAAGTACATCCTGCTGTGTGAGACAGGCTGAAGGAGCCCAGCAAAGCGACTGCCCAGAGCTGGGGAAAGAGCTCCTCTATGTAGCGACAACTGGGCAAGAGCGTGATGGCAGAGACTTTGAGCTAGTGTCAAAGCTGTTATTATTTTCAGCTGTAGTACTGGAATTATGTCATTATATTAAGTTTTGACATTTATACAGGTGACAAAGTAACTAAGACTAAGAATATGTGGTCAGTCTATCCAGATGATGCAAATTTAGAATTTGTTCTGACATTTTCCGAGATGTGACTGCTCATTATCTGACCAAGCTAGCTCTATTAGCAGTCAGCTACATCTTGTTCAGAGCACAGTAATCTGTCGGCAAGGACGCCAGTGTTCCATCTGCACATTATAACTGCATCCACTGTCAGAACCTAATGCGTGGTGCACCATGTGCTTCCCTTTACTGTCACCTGGCATAACCTCACGTGTTGACATGGACTGCCGTACTTTGCTTCACTGTGTTTTTCTTTGTTTTCCTCTTTAGGGGCTGTGCTCCTCCAGTAATGGAGACTGTATGAGCAGTTTATCAAACAGCTGTTGAACAAGCAGAACACAAACTTGCAGAAATGTGACGTCTTCACTGCTTTGCCCACAGTCCACTCACTGAAATCTCTGTTTTACCCTTAAACCAACAAGTGAATGTCTGTCATGTCTGTTGTTTTTCTTGAACAACCTCCAAGCTAATAATGATATCAGTGCCATTCTAAATGCCAGGAGGTTTTCATAGTTAAGCAATCATACTATGAGGGTCAAACTATCATGGGAATATTGCTGTTATGGCACTATGAGGAAACTGAGTTGGCCCTTGGCGGAGGTCTGCACTCTGAGAGCTGCTAGTTTCTTTCTGGATATGTGCTCCTTACTCATTTTCTCCATGACTTGTGTGCATGGTCTACATTCTTCATGCCAGTGATAGCAGTGCTAATTCTGGATCCTAGAATGAGTGACTCAGGTTAGTTGAGATTGTAATGAGGTGCAAGGTCACTAGAAGTAGAACTAATGGCGTTAAGGAGAGAAAATGTGCAAATACAGAAAAAAAGTTACAGTGCAGTAATAGATGGAACCTGAAACAGAGATGTTGCACCATGAAAATTAAGAAATTAACAGTTGGTTCTAAACTTTTTATCACACAAGCTGACTTGCAGTGGTAAAAGCAAAGGGATCTCATTCTTATTGTAGATTTTACTACATTTGATAATTTAGAGTAAATTAAAGTAGAGTAGATGGCTTATTAGTATATATATATGTAAATGGAATAATTAACAGTTTGAATTTGCAGATTCTTAGGAACTTTACCTTGAACTTGCTCCAAAGTCCCCACATTTAGTAAACTGCAGAGAAGACATATGGCTCCTGTGTTCTCTAACATAAGGGCTTTCTTCCCTTGGTCAGAGGTGTTTGAAAGACATGCTCTTTATATCTGTCTTTTTCTTTCTCTCTGTAAATACACATACACACACATACGCACAAGGAAAAACATACAGTATATGCATTTTTTGTTATCCCCTAACGGCTCTGAATGAAAGAAGTGTGAAGTGGTATAAACACACACACCCACACATACACCCTAACTCCTATGAAGGATCTTCCTACAGTTCATTTTTGTTTTAAGAAAACCAGTACTGAACTGTATTTGCTTGTCTCTTTCAGCCTAATTTGTAATACAGGTCCTCATTAGAACATATATTTTTAATGGAACAAAAGGCTGTATCATTAGCATGAGATGCATTTTCTTTTAAAGGACATGAGTGGATTTTACCCAGTGCCGTGGTTTGATGACAGAGTTTGCTTGCTGTATTAACCACAATCCAGATTCCACATAGCATGGCACTGGGTAGCAATCAGATCTCACTGGAGCTGATTTTCTGTCAGGGCAGTTTGTAATTCTGCTGCATTAAGGAGACATAATCAGATAGCTTAAGTAAGTCAGAGGCATCCTTTCACTTTAGAGATCTTCTGACCATTTTCCAACTCCCTCTCAGTGTGCTTCACTAAATGGGTTCAGCTGTACTCCTTTGGGGCTGTAACCTTCAAAGTGCCTGCATAGTTGACAGCATACATTCACCTAATGTTGTCTGTCACATTCAAGGATGCAGATTGCTTGTAGAATCAAGTCTGAATGTGAGTGTGTTATTGCAGGTTAGGGCATTATCCAATAGTCCAACAAAACAATTCTTTGTTGCAGTCACACTGTCAGCTCCCCAGTAATATATGGGATTAGGCTGCAGCTCTTAAAGCATCACTTCCTAGACTGCTGCAATCTTGTGCATGCCTATTCATTAATGCGACTGCATGCAGTTCAGACTTGTGCCATATTGAAAGTAATATGTAAATGTTGCTATGTCCAACCTAGTAAGATTTACAGAAAAGTGACCCGTGTGCTCATTCAAACATGAAACAAACACGTTCAGATGCTGTCAGTCTCATACATTTCCGGTCATGCTTTTATTTTGGTGTTTTATTTCCTCTTCTTCGTATGTGTTGCCTCTTTACCTTTAGATGCTGCCATGTGTCTCTTTGTCCCATTTCCCGCCAAGTGTCATGTCTCTGCCCTCCCCACCTGCATTGCACTTGTCATTAGTTCTTCCTGTATATAAGCTTTGGCTTCACCTCTGGCCAGTGCCAGATTGTCTCAGCTCCCACACCCATAGGCCTCATGTTCCTGCCTGCTTCATGTAAAGGATCAGAGGAAAGGACGTCTCATTCAGTTAAAATGTATTTCCTCGGTTCCTCTCTCCTCGCAGTTTCTCCTTGCATCTTTAAAGCTGCAAGCGATGGAAACATGGATGCAATTAGGGGAACTGGGATTCAGCTTTTTATGATCCAGCTCTTCTCAGCGCTTACAGCCTGAACCCCACCAGAACAGTCAGAATTAATTGAAATTTTTTATGTAGAATGTTCTAATTTGTTCTTTTGTCTCTCAAAATGTACTTGTCTGTCCTCTCCCCCATAGTCAAACCCCTTCTCTCAGTTGATCGAGTGGTTGGTATGTAGTCAGAGCACCAATCAGAACCCCTTGTTTAAGAATTAATTTTAACTGCCTCTGTGGCAGCAGAGTTCTTGTGTACTGTGGCTCATGAGTGCAGAGTAGAGGCTCACAAGTGGGGGTGAAGTGGAAATGTTATCTTTAGAAAGTGTCTATAGCACAGAAACATGTGAGGAAGGCGGCACAGTGCTGAACCTCTTCTCACTTAATGTGAGAATTACAGGAAGCAAGAGAAGTGAAAAAAGATTGACTGAGGACTATAGAGAAGAACTGGATGGAACAATGTTGATATGTAGTACAGGAAATTATTTGATCACCTTTTGTTATGCCAATTTTAGATTTTTTTTCAGTATGTTTTTAGTGAGTTTTGTTTAACAAGCCTAGAGGTCTATAGCCACACTAGGAGCATCAGTGGCCCCTGGGGGCTTTAATTATCATTACACCCTATGATATCAAAACATAAAAACTATATATTAGGGATGTGAATGTTATTATGAGACAGCAGAATGAAATATGAGCTACATTGCTGTTGTAAAAGCAGCAAGCATGACTTTGATATACATATTTGTTCACATATTGCTATTGCTAAGTTGTCATAAGCTATAGTAAAATGTCCAAAATGAAAGGGGTCATTCTCAGAGGAGCATGAATGTGCAAAGGGGTCATCCTCAGAGGAGCATGAATGTGCTCAGTAAATATCATGGCAGTCAACCTATGGCAAGTGGTAGCATGGTTGGCTCTAGATGAAAGGTCAAAAGCTCACCCTAAAACAGTATGGTTCATAATAGAGACCATAATAGTAGCCTGGCATACTGATTAACTATAAGCTGTCCCTGGTAGGCTAGTGGTTAAGGCTCAGCGCTCTCGTCACTGCGGCCCGGGTTCGAGTCAGGGTTGTGTCAGGAAGGGCATCTGGCATAAAACACGTGCCAAATGTCAACATGTGACGAATCGCTGTGGTGACCCTCTAAACGGCAAAAGTCGAAAGTGACTTTATGTTGATATCAATATGTGAGAGTTTGCAATAAGTGGGATATATTAATTTTTCAATATACTAAAATATGTTAGTCCTAGCATAGTCTTATAATTAGTTTATTAAAGAACTGTGATGAAGATATTTACTGAGTGAGACGTTACAGTTAAAAAATAAACTTGTCAGTGTTTCATATTGGGCAAACTGAGAATTAGAGACACTGTTTTGGATTCATGTGTTTATACACCCAGAAGGCACAGATCAATATTAGGTGGTAATTATGCTTCTGGCCACTGTGCAAATGTAAGTCCAATATTCACTGAATTTCTAGCTTTGTTTTGGACTTGTGGAGTGGAACACTGGACCAGCTCTATACCCTCTTCAGGGTGGCGGAGGGTTCATGGGAGTTTGCCCAACCAGTCCACATGTGTTTCATGGATCTGGAGAAGGCATTCGACCATGTCCCTCGCAGCGCCCTGTGGG